TTTCCAGGTGCCCATGATCTGGTCCTGCCTGTCCCAATTTCTCCACCATCCTCACTTTGGAAGATACCCAGGCCCCTGCCTGCCCGCCAGAGCAGTTCCTCCTGGATCTCAATTTTAAGGAGATGCCTCCCTCCGTCCATCCCTGCTCTCCCAGCTCTCTCCTGCCTCTCCAAACTTTTCCACCCCCACCCCCACCCTCCATCCCCCACCCCGTTGTTACCTCATACACTCCCCCCCCTTTCCACTCCCTTTTTGGTGTTATTTTCCTGCATTAGAATAATGTAAACTTTTGGGGGACAGTGATTATCTTCGTTTTGCTAGTATTTGTACTCCCCGCACTTCGAACAGTGCCCAGAACATTGTTCAGTCATTTCAGACTCTTTGAGGCCTCATTTGGGGTTTTCTTGGTAAAGATGCTGTAGTGGTTTGCCATTTCCTTCTCCAGCTCATGTGACAGATGAGGAAACTGAGGCAAACAGGGTGAAGTGACTTGCCCAGGGTCACACAGCTAAGAAGTGTCTGAGGCCAAATTTAAACTCAGGTCTTCCTGACTCTGGGCCCCACACTATCCACTGTGCCGCCTAGCTGCCTGGTACACACATAGTAAGCTCTTGATAAGTGTCTTGATCCCAGACTATGCTATTCCTTCTGTCCATCACTTGGGAGCCCTTGTGCTGGGGAAGGCAATCCTTCATTGGGGCTGGGCAGTGGTGAGGCAGGTGGGGCTCTGGTCAAATGGGAGAGGGTTAATTCTGTGGCCTGTGACATAGGAAGGGGCTCTGGGGCTGCCACCTTTCAAACTGAGTCAAGAGACTTCTCTTGAGCCCAGAATGGGTGAGTCAAAAGTTTGATAATCATTTTAACTGCTGACAGATAAGGGCTAAACATGGGCACTCCATCTAAGTGGGGCTCAGGCCCAGGAATGGGGGCTCAGGCAGAGAAACATAGGGTTGTATATTTAAATCTGGGAAGGACTTTAGAGGATTTTTACAGAGAAGGAAACTGAGGCCCAGAGAGATAAAGTGACAACTTTAATTGGGAGCCCAGGGAAGGTGATGGGGGTCAGTAAAAGAGGTAGGAGCTTGTTAAGGGTTAGTGATGCTGTGAGAAAGAATGAGGGCTCAGGAAGAGAGGATGGGGGGTTAAAGGTCACTGAGGGAAACATGCATGGATTAATAGCAAGAACTAGTGTGGGGAGGGGCTCTGAAGTCATTGAATCCAAACCTGATATTTTACAGAGGAAGAAACTGAGACTGAGAAGTGACATGAGCCTTTGCACTTATAAGTGAGTGGTGAGAGTGCAGAGAGGATAGGGAGATCAGTGAGAGGGGTGAGGGCTAGGTGTCAGGGATGGGGGAATAAGCTCAGGATGAGGGGCTCCGGATGAGGGAGAAAGGAGGCTGAGGATGATGGAAGGATGAGGCTAAGGATAAGGGAGAAATAAGGCTGAGGATGATGGAGGGATAGGGCTCAGGATGAGGGGCTCCGGATGAGGGAGAAAGGAGGCTGAGGATGATGGAAGGATGAGGCTAAGGATAAGGGAGAAATAAGGCTGAGGATGATGGAGGGATAGGGCTCAGGATGAGGGAAAATGAGGCTTAGGATGAGAGAAGGATGAGTGACGGATGGGGGCTCAGGATGAGGGGGGATGGAGGGGTCAGGATGAGGGAGGAGAATGAAGCTAAGGATGAGAGAGGGATGGGTCTCAGGATGTGGGAGGGATGGGGTTCAGGATGGGGGCTCAGGATGGGGGGATGGGGCTCAGAATGAGGCTCCAGATGAGGGGGGATGGGGGCTCAGGATGAGGGGGGATGGAGGGGTCAGGATGAGGGAGAGATGGCGCTTAGGATGAGTGACTCAGGATGAGGAGAGAGGGATAAGGCTGAGGATGAGGGGGGTTGGAGGGCTCAGGATGGGGGGATGGGGCTCAGAATGGGGGGATGGGGGCTCCGGATGAGGGGGGATGGGTTTCAAGATGAGGGAGGGATGGGGGCTCAAGATGAGGGGGGATGGAGGGGTCAGGATGAGGGGGGAGAATGAAGCTCAGGATGAGGGGGGGATGGGGCTCAGAATGGGGGGATGGGGGCTCCGGATGAGGGGGGATGGGTTTCAAGATGAGGGAGGGATGGGGGCTCAAGATGAGGGGGGATGGAGGGGTCAGGATGAGGGGGGAGAATGAAGCTCAGGATGAGGGGGGGATGGGTCTCAGGATGAGGGGGGGATGGGGCTCAGGAGGGGGGGATGCGGCAGGCTGCGTGTGGGGCTGGGGTTGCCCGTGGGCCGAGCGCCCCTCCTGGGCCACCGGCACAGCTGCGGTTCTTCCGGCCGGCCCTGATTGCGGAGCCGAGCAGCGTCGCCACCAGCTTCGGGGAGAGGGTGGGGGGCCGGCGGGGGCGGAGAAGCGCCTCCCTCTGCTCCAGCCGTGGCCCTGGGGCCCGGCCCCCGCCCCCGCGGCCGCTGCTCAGTCCTTGGTCCCCTGAGCGGAGCTTGCTACCGGGTGACAGGTCTGAGCGCCTGGGAGGGAGCCTTTGGGCAGCCCGGCGGGGAGGTGGGAGGGCTCAGCAGAAAGGGCGACAGGAGGGAGGAGGGAGGAGGGAGGAGGGAGGAGGGAGGAGGGAGGAGGGAGGAGGGAGGAG